TTGTGAGTTTTTACTTGATTCCACACTCATGTCATAGACATACTCTTAAAAAAAAAAAAAGATATTGTTTTTGTTTATTTTAGAGTGAGAGAGATGCTGTATGTGTGTGAGAGAAAGAAGGAGGGTTGATCCAAGGTAGAGGCAGAGGGGGAGGGAGAGACTTTCCAGCTGACTGTGCTGAGTAGATCCCAGAACCCTGAGATCATGACCATGATCTGAGCCGAAGTCAAGAGGAAGATGCTTAACCCATTGTGCCACCCAGGCACCCTATTTCCTCCTTTGTATTTTTAGAAGAAGAAAACAAGAATCACATAACTAACATGTTTGAGGATTTTAAAATCCTGAAATAGGTCACAGATGACTGAAACCAAAGCTTTCGATGAAATACTGTATAGTGGGATCTTCGAGCACGGTGGTCAAGAGAGAATTCTTGAGACGCTGTATGGTACCAGAGAGTAGGTTTATTGAAGTAGCCTGGGCACAGGACCTGTGGGCAGAAGCAGCTACAGGTCGGCTGCATGAAGCTGGTGGTTATATGCTCAGTGTTTGGGGTGCGGGGGTAGGTGCACAAAATATTAGATCACAAGTGTTTGTTCGAATTTGTACATGTAAAACTACTTTTGCAAGATTTCTCTGATACTATCATTCAATTTGATATTAATATCGGTGAGATGCACAGGGAGTCAAGAGACCCTTTAAGAATGTAGGAAGCAGGGGCACTGGATGGCTCAGTGGGTTAGAGCCTCTGCCTTCAGCTCTGGTCATGATCCCAGCGTCCTGGGCTCTAGCCCTGCATTGGGCTCTCTGCTCACCAAGGAGCCTGCTCCCCATCCCGCACCTGCTTCTCTGCCTACTTGTGATCTCTGCCTGTCAAATAAATAAAATCTTAAAAAAAAAAAAAAAAAGAATGTAGCAAGTTGTATATATTTGATTCTTAGCAGAACTAGGAAGCCTGTGGGTCAGCTTTCTGAGTTAAAGGTAAACGTTTTTCTGCTTGTATCCCTCATCATACTTGCACCATAAATAATAGCTGTTTTATCTGTATCATTCTGTGTGTCTGTGTTGATAGTGGGAATAAAAGACAGAGGCAGCATCATCTGCAATGTGATTTGTAAGTCTCACGTGAATGAAAACAGTTCTTGAATTAATAACCGTGACAGTTTTCTACTCTCTGACTTTTAACGTGCGTATAACTACTTCCTAAATGTATAGGTGGTGCATGATGTGTAAAAAGATAGATCTTTTCACGTGGATACCTTTTGGCTGCCATCATTCTTGTCCTGTTTGATACCTGCTACGAACATTGGTACAGAATCCTCCTCTCTGTATATAGACCTGTGTGTCCTTTTCAATGGACTCTCAGACCCATAACCTGGGTTAAGACCTGATCCCTTTGCACATTAGGTAAATGAGATTTATGCTTCTCCATGAGTGGAGATTTTAGTGTTACAATGAGGTAAAGTTTGAACTGTAGGTCAGTGCATGGGTTCCACGTTGGTCCCTCTGCCTGCAAGTGGGCCAGCCCAAGCACTTCTCTGTGGACAGCCATTACCTTTTATTGCGTAGTTTCTGTTTTCACCACAGGAGGCTCTGCCCTTGGGGTGTTGTGGCTAAAGTAAAGGATGAAGTGACAGGATTATCTGTTTTGTGTGTGTTGAGTTTGTGGAGTTCTTTATAGATCCTGGATATCATCCCTTTGTCTGTATTGTCATTTGGGAATATCTTCTCCCATTCCGAGGGTTGCCTTTTTTTTGTTGTTGACTGATACTCTTTGCTGTGTAGAGGCTTTTGATCTTGATGAAGTTCCCAAAATTCATTTTTGCTTTTGCTTCCTTTGCCTTTGGAGACATGTCTTGAAAGAAGTTGCTGCGGCCGATGTCGAAGAGGTTACTGCCTATATTCTCCTCTAGGATTCTGATGGGTTCCTGCCTCACGTTGAGGTTTTTTATCCATTTCGAGTTTATCTTTGGGTACAGTTATGTAAGAGAGTGGTTGAGTTTCATTCTTCTATACAGAGCTGTCCAATTTCCCCAGCACCATTTATTGAAGAGACTTTTTTCGACTGCATGTTTTTTCCTGCTTTGTCGAAGATTACTTGACCATAGAGTTGAGGGTCCATATCTGGTCTCTCTACTCTGTTCCACTGGTGTATGTGAGACAGATAGAGACTCCCGGCTCTATCCTTTTGGGTCCCTGGCTCCCCTTTTCTCCTGCTAAGGCTAAGAAAAGGACCACTAGCCATCTGGTTTGACTAAGATAATGTAACAAGTCATTGCTCCTGCTGAGACAGAAGAAAAAGACCAGATGCCCAGTCCTGTTTGAATAAGAAAAGAAAGGGAAACAGCCCCCAAAGTGATTTAGCACTCTCCTGAGATGCCTCCACACAGATTATACTTCCACAGGAAAGGGCCATTTGGCCTTGAGAGACTGGGAAAGTGCCCTGGCCTTGAGAGACTGAAACACACCCCACTACCATCTCGCATTGCCCGTAACCATAAAAAGTCACTACCCTGTGGGGTGCTCAGTCTTTGGGAAGGATCCCACTGAGCCCGCTGGCATTAATAAAGCTGTGTTCTCCTATCTCTCCGTGTGCCGTTTGGGTTTCCTCGGCCACCTCAGATTTTCCACAACATATGTGTCTGTTTTTATGCCAGTACCATGCTGTCTTGGTGATCACAGCTTTGTAGTAAAGCTTGACATCAGGCAACGTGATGCCACCAGTTTTGTTTTTCTTTTTCAGCATTTCCTTAGCAATTCGGGGTCTCTTCTGATTCCATATAAATTTTAGGATTGTTTGCTCCAGCTCTTTGCAAAATGCTGGTGGAATTTTGATCGGAATGGCATTGAAAGTACAGATTGCTCTAGGCATTATAGACATTTTAACAATGTTTATCTTTACGATCCACGAGCATGGAATGGTCTTCCATCTTTTTGTGTCTTCAATTTCTTTCATGAGTGTTCTGTAGTTCCTCGAGTACAGATCCTTGGCCTCTTCGGTTAGGTTTATTCCCAGGTATCTTACGGTTCTTGGTGCTATAGTAAATGGAATCGATTCTCTAATTTCCCTTTCTGTATATTCATTGTTAGTGTATAAGAAAGCAACTGATTTCTGTACATAGATTTTGTATCCTGCCACACTACTGAATTGCTGAATGAGTTCTAGTAGTCTGGGGGGTGGAGTCTTTTGGGTTTTCGGTATCAAGTATCATGTCATCTGTGAAGAGAGAGTTTGACTTCTTCATTGCCAATTGGGAATACCTTTTACTTCTCTTTGTTGTCTGATTGCTGTTGCTAGGACTTCTAATACTATGTTGAACAAGAGTGGTGAGAGTAGACATCCTTGTGGTGGTTCTGATCGCAAAGGGAAGGCTATCAGCTTCTTCCTATTGAGGATGATATTCAGTGTGGGTTTTTTTTTTTTTTAAGACTTTATATATTTATTTGACAGAAAGAGATCACAAGTAGGCAGAGAGGCAGAGAGAGAGGGGGAAACAGGCTCCCTGCTGAGCAGAGAGCCCGATGCGGGACTCAATCCCAGGACCCCGAGATGATAACCTGAGCCAAAGGCAGAGGCTTAACCCACTGAGCCACCCAGGCACCCCATCACTGTGGGTTTTTCATAGATAGATCTTATGACAATTCTCCAATGAAGACATATAAATGGCTAACAGGAACATGAAAAAATGTTCATCATCACTACCCATCAGGGAGATTCAAATCAAAACCACATTGAGATACCACCTTTCACCAGTTAGAATGGCCAAAATTAATATGACAGTAAACACCAAGTGTTGGAGAGCATGTGGAGAACAGGGAACCCTCTTACACTGTTGGTGGGAATGCAGGTTGGTGCACCCACTTTGGAAAACAGTGTGGTGATTCCTTAAGAAATGAAAAATAGGGTGCCTGGGTGGCTCAGTGGGTTAAGCCTCTGCCTTCAGCTCAGGTCATGATCGCAGGGTCCTGGGATCGAGTCCTGCATTGGGCTCTCTGCTCAGCGAAGAGCTTGCTTCCCCCTCTCTCTCTGCCTGCCTCTCTGCCTACTTGTGATTTCTCTCTCTGGGTGTCAAATAAAGAAATAAAATCTTAAAAAAGGAAATGAAAAATAGAGCTCCCCTATGACCCTGCAATTGCATTACTGGGTATTTACCCCAGAGATAGCAGATATAGTGAAAAGAAGGGCCATCTGTACTCTAGTGTTCATAACAGCAGTGGCCACAGTCACCAAACTGTGGAAAGAACTAAGATGCCCTTCAGCGGACTAATGGATAAGGAAGATGTGGTCCATATATACTATGGAGTATTATGTGTCCATCAGAAAGGATGAATACTCAACTTTTCTATCAAAGTGGATGGGAATGGAAGAGGTTATGCTGAGTAAAATAAGTCAAGCAGAGAGAGTCAGTTATATGTTTTTGCTTATTTGTGGAGCATGAGAAATAACAGAGAGGATATGGGGAGATGGAAGGGAGAAAGGATTGGGGGAAATTAGAGGGGCAGATGAACCATGAGAGACTGTGGACTCTGAAAAACAATCTGAGGGTTTTGGAGGAGCGAGGGGTGGGAGGTTGAGTGAGCCTGGTGGTGCGTATTAAGGAGTGCACGTATTGTATGGAGCACTGGGTGTGGTGCATAAAGAATGAATTCTGGAATACTGAAAAGAAATTAAATTAAATTAAAATTTGAAAAAATTTTAAAAAAGGATAAGGTGAAAAGAAAAGGTTAAGTCAAATGTGGGATAAAGTTTGGTGGGGATAGTCAGGTATGCAGTGAAGGTCAGGTGTTGGGGTCTAGCTGGAGACACTAACTCTTCCTCTTTGATCTTAGGGCCCGTTGTGAACTGTATCAGTGGCATTTGGTGACTGTGGTATTTATTGCAGGGACAGCTGACCTTCAGGGATGTGGCCATCGAATTCTCCGAGGAGGAGTGGGGACGCCTGACCCACACTGAGCAGCAACTGTACAGGGATGTGATGTTGGAGAACTACAGACACCTGCTCTTCTTGGGTGAGAATGACTCCTTCCAGATTTCCCAGACCACACTCAGGGTTTCATTCTCCTTTGAAGACTGTCTCTTGGATGATTCCTCTTTGCATAACTGGAGATCAGGTCACTGCACTAAGGAACACTTGTAAGGATTGGTAGGTGTAGTCAAAATCCTCCTGACGATTGCTTTTCAGCTTTAGCCTCCCCTTCCTTCAGGTAACATCATTTCTATAGATCAGCGGCTGTTGAAAGCCTGGCGTGGCATAAAATGGTACTGCCTGCATTTAAACTCCAATTTTCACTCCTTATTATTGTATCAGCAGTACTTAGAAGTGCAAGTTAGGATGTGACTATTTGAAAGCCCTTCTCTTTCTACAGGGGGTGCTGGTCAACAGTGTTTGAGAAATCATCTTTTAGAATTCTGCAATGTTCTCTCTTTGAGCGCAGTGTGGATTGAAAGACTTTCCAGCAATATGTGTATTTGGTTTCTCTATTAATCAGGTCTCATTGTTTCAAAGCCTGATTTGGTCTCCTTTTTGGAGCAAAAGAAGGACCCTTGGGATGTAAAGAGAAAGAAGACAGTGGTCTTTGATCCAGGTAGGTGGGAATGGATGAAGCAGATGACAATGGTGAAGTCCAAGTCTGAAAGAGGAAGGTAAACCTTCAAATGTGGTTCCAGTAGCTCTGCTTGAATGAAAATCAGTTGGAGAAGCCCCGCTTATGTCTCTGTCTCTCCCAGAGGGACATCTGTGAGCCAACATTATCATGCTTTTATTTTCTCTAAGGATTCTGCTTCAGCTCCAGTGATGGTCCATCATGTCCACAGGGAAGACCAGGAGACTCTCCTGGGAGTGGGAGGGTCTCCATCATCTGAGAACTCTTCCATTGCTTTGAGAGTCTTGGTAAAATCTCCCTATTTCTGAGGGTCTCTATGCTGAGTCTCTTCTACGTTTTGCATCACACATTTGCTTCATGTGAGATAGTGTGCCTGAGTTGTGGTGGGCATGCTGGGGATTGGTGTGGAAATCCCCGGAACACTGGAGATAGACACCACCTGGTTTCTGGCTTACGCTTTCCAATGTTATGGAGGCTTTAATCTTAAACATATAAAACTGAGACTCAGTCAGTTCATAGGGTAACAAAGCATTTCCCTAAGATTAGACAATATAATTCTTTATTTCACTTCAAACGTTCAAATGTTCATTTCTCTTTGTACAAAGGAGAAGTTTCCGTTCCATGTGTTCCATTGCCCAGTGGTGAACTAATGTAATGTCTCTATTTGTTTGCTAGATTTCCTACACAAATTAATGTTATAGGGGATTCAGAACTTGTAGAACCCATAGTCTGAAATAAAGTCTCAATTCTTAGCTTATTAGTAATTGCATCATTTTATAATTTTGTTTCATAATACGAGGTTCCTGTGACTTTGTCATATGTTTTCACTTTCTTATTAGTTGTCTGTGAGACTCATTTCTACTTATAAGATCAAAAGTCCTAATATGACATGAGCATTTGGTTTATAAGAAGTGATGTAGATAGTAAATTTCCCACATTGAAAAAAATGTTCTGTTCATAAATGGAATTTTAGTTCAGGGAAAATTAATTGTAAGGCTTTTTTTTTTAATTTTAAGATTTTATTTATTATTTATTTGACAGAGATCACAAGTAGGCAGAGAAGCAGCAGAGAGAGAGGAAGGGAAACAGGCTCCTTGCTGAGCAAAGAGCCCCATGCGGGGCTTGGTTCCAGGGATCCTGGGATCATGACCTGTGCCGCAAGTAGAGAGAGGCTTTAGCCCACTGAGCCACCCTCGTGCCCCAGTCCTAAGGCTTTTTATTTTTTTTTTTAACTATTTTACTCAGAATGTATCTGGATTTAATCCCTAGTATTCTTATAAAATGATTGTCTGCATATTTTACAACTGTGATGGCGTTTGCTTATATAGAAAGGGAAGTTACTTGCTTCTCTGCTTCGCTCTAAAGAATTGATTATAACCTTGAATTCTGTGTAAGAAGAGGAGTATATCAGTAGCAGGTTACATATTTTGATGTCACTTAAGTCCTTATTCATAATATTTTTCATTACACCTCTTCATATTTGATTTTAATGGAGATTCCTTACAGTTTTACTGTGAGTGAACATAAGCCGAAATTGAAAATGCCTTTTTCTATGGATATACAGAATTAAAATTATAGTTCTATAGAAGGTTGCCTTTAAAATCATTCATATATTTTATTCTGTAGATTTTTTTAGTTAAAATTGGGCTTATTTTGGTTTTGCATATTCCATAATAATGTGCTTCCTTTTGTATGGGACTTTCCACAACATTAGTTAGTTGTGGTTTGTTTTTTTTCTTAATGTATTTTTTTTAGTTTTTTTTTTTTTTTTTTTTTTTTTAGATCACAAATAGGCAGAGAGGCAGGCAGAGAGAGAGAGGAGAAGGAGGCAGGCTCTCTGCTCAGCAGATGCGGGACTCAATCCCAGGACCCTGAGATCATGATCTGAGCCGAAGGCAGAGGATTTAACCACTGAGCCACCCAGGCGCCCCTAATACATACTTTTTTAATAGAAAGACAGTTTTCAACACTTTTGAACAATGCGAATGTAACTCAAATATGAATCAGGCTTATGCCCTTTCCAAATAATACTATGTTTGTATTGTCTATGTAAATATTACCCATATGTTGTTTGTAACTCATATTATGTATTTCTGGTGGTTATGAATATTCTAGCATATCTAGGTGAGTTGTTATAATACTAGCATTAATTTCTACATCTGTATTATTGAATTTATATTCTCTTTGCATGAGAATCACTTTCGGGGTAATCAAAAGTAATTCTTCCATTTCTTTTAAAGATTTTATTTATTTGACAAAGAGATCACAAGTAGGCAGAGAGGCAGGCAGAGAGAGAGGGGGAAGCAGGCTCCCTTCTGAGCAGAGAGCCCGATGCGGGGCTCAATCCCAGGACCCTGGGATCATAACCTGAGCCGAAGGCAGAGGGCTTAACCCACTGAGCCACCCAGGCACCCTGAAGCCTTTAGTTTTTCATGTCAACCCTCTGCCCCCTTTCACTCTCCTATCTTTATGGGGTCCCCTTATTGTACATATCGGTCCACTTATAGGTCTCTTACGAGTCCCAGACCCTGTCTTTTTTGACATTTTTCTTTGATCTTCAAGACAAGGGTCTTTAGATTGTCTGATTCTTTCTTCTGCTTGAGCAAGTCTGTGGGTGACCCACTGGTGTGTTTTTAACTTCCGTCATCGTGTTCTTTAACTCCCTGTTGCTGCTTGGCTGATTGTTATACTTCGTCTCTTTGGGTTTACATTTTGGTCATGACCTGTTTTCTGATCTCATTGAGTTACATACCTGTATTCTCTTCCTTTCTCCATGCTCATCTTTATGATGGTTAATTTTTTGTCATGCAAGTAAGAGTTCTTTATTAACTGAGGGTTTGTTTGTGGGATTTCTTTTGTTCTCATGATGGGAGCACATTTTTCTATTTCTTTTATTGCCTTGTGATCTTCTGTTGATGTTTCAGAATTTAAAAAATAAAAGAAAGCCTCTGGGTCCAGGTTTATGGACTTGCTTTGTAGAAAAGAACACAGACAGTAGTAATTATGGCATCTGTCACATAAACCTGGACATTTGTCATGTCTAAATTTTGTAGTTTCCCAGGTTACCAAAGTGCAGTTTCTTCTTTATAGCCCATGATACCTTCCTCTGTCTGTTTCCCTTCAGATTATCATCTGTCCATTGTTTGAAGAAATAGTCAACCTTTTGTCTGAGTAGCTACCACACTGCTTCTTCCAATCTTAGTTGGTCTTCTCTTTCAATCTGAACTTGATTTGGTTACAGATCTGTCAATTTTGATCTTTTTTCCCTGAAAACTAAATCCTCCTATTGATACTTTCCTATACTTGCTAAATTCTATTTTCTTCATTTCTGTTTTATGTTGAATTTCCTTTCTTCCATGGGTGCCAGGATGGCTTGTGTTTAAGCCTTTGACTTTAGCTCGGATCATGATCTCAGGGTCCTGGGACTGAATCCTGTTTCAGGCTCCCTGTTCAGCAAGGAATCGACTTGCCCCTCTCCTTTTGACCCTCACCTCACTCATGCTCTCCCTCTCTGTCTCTCTCTCTCTCTCTCATAAGTCTTCAAAAATATTCCTTCCTTCTGCTGATTTTGGGCTTATATAATGGTACTTTTCATGATTATTTGATACAGAGGAGAGTGATTTGTGTTAGACCCTGACAATACTATAGACTTTTCTATGAAGCTGTGTGGTCAGTATGTTATGCGCAAATTGATGTGTCCACGGAGGAACAAAGTCCTGATGCTTCCTACTCAGCCATCGTGCTGATGTTCTCTGATTGATTTTGTGGTTGCTGTGTTAGACATCCTCAGTATATTCGTCTGAAAGTAGTAAATGCAATGACTTGACTTTTCTGTTTTTCAATATCTTTCAGCTGTATCTTCACAGGACACCCTGAGCTTCCTGCCAGAGCCATGCAAAGAAGCTTCATTTCAAGATGTATCCATGGGTCAATATAAACATAGCGTCCTTGAGAAGTTACACCTAATGATAGACTGGGATAATGATCGTAAAGGATATATCCAAATTGAGACTACTGCCCATGATAGTGAAAGATACAAAATACTTTGTAAAACCTTCCTTTTTAAGACCATTAGTTCTGCAAGGCAGGGTGTTTCTGTCAGCAGGAGCTCCACTCAAACACTCAAACGTCCATATTTATGGATGGAGAATGTAGAACATCTGGAAAGTTACCGAGTCTGTGCTGAACATAATGATTTGAACAATTTTGAAAATAGGATTGGATTGACCTTTCATTCAAATATTTCTAAACTTCAGAGATTTCAGCATGGAGAAACAACTGCTAAGTGGGATCCATTTGAGAGGTCTTTCACTAAAGACTCAACCCTTCAAAATTCCCAGAGCATTTTCAATGGAGAGGGAATTGCTCAAGGCAGTGAATCTGAGAAAAAAATTCATCCAGGCTCAAATGTTAATAAACATCTGAGGACTCATTTTGCTGAGAACCATTTCAAACTTATTAAACGTGGGGAAGTCTTTGCTCAAAGGTCCATCCTTCTGTCTAACAGTATGCATATAAGAGAGAATCTTAATGAATGTGAAAGAGATTTTAACCAGTCCTCCAGTTCTGGTGATCATCCAAAAATTTATGTGGGAAAAAACCCATCCAGATATAAGAAGCCTGGGAATACGTTTAGTCAGTCATCAGGAACACATATACATAAGACAATCTGTAGTGGAGAGAAACCTTACAAAAGTAAAGAATACAGCACAGACTTTAAATTACCATTGACCCTTACTCACCATCAAAGAATTCATTGTGGAGGGAAACCTTACCAATGTCAAGAATGTGGGAAGGCCTTTAACCAGATGTCACACCTTACTGAACATCATAGAATTCATACTGGAGAAAAACCTTACTACTGTCAAGAATGTGGCAAGGCCTTTATCCATCAGTCAGGCCTTAACTACACATTACAGAGTTCATACTGGAGAGAAACCTTACAACTGTGTAGAATGTAGCAAGGCCTTTAAGTGGGAATCCAGCCTTACTCAACATCACAGAATTCATACCGGAGAGAAACCTTACAAATGTGAAGAATGTGGCAAGGCCTTTAGGCGGCAGTCAGACGTTATTGAACATCGCAGAATTCATTTTAGAGAGAAACCTTACAAATGTAAAGAGTGTGGGAAGGCCTTTAAGCAGCACTCAGTCCTTTTTCACCATCAGAGAATTCATACTCGAGAGAAACCTTACAAATGTACGGAGTGTGGGAAGGTCTTCAAGCAGCTCTCAGCCCTTACTCACCATCACAGAATTCATACTGGAGAGAAAACTTACAAATGTAAAGACTGTGGCAAGGCCTTTAGCAGGCATTCAAGCCATACTCAACACCACAAAATCCATACTGGAGAGAAGCCTTACAAATGTAAAGAATGTGGCAAGGCCTTTATCCGTAAATCAGGCCTTACTACCCATCACAAAGTTCATACCGGAGAGAAACCGTATAATTGTGAAGAATGTGGCAAGGCCTTTACCTATAAATCAACCCTTACTAATCATCACAGAGTTCATACTGGAGAGAAACCTTACAGCTGTGTAGAATGTGGCAAGGCTTTTAAGCAGGAATCAAGCCTCACTCAGCATCACAGAATTCATACTGGAGAGAAACCTTATAATTGTGAAGAATGTGGGAAGGTCTTTATGTTCCATTCAGGCCTATCTCAACATCGCAGAATTCATATTGGAGAGAAACCTTACCAGTGTAAAGAATGTGGCAAGGTATTTATGTTCCATTCAGGCCTTACTCGACATCAGAGAATTCATTCTGGTGAGAAACCTTACAAATGTCAAGTATGTGGCAAGGCCTTTAAGTGGCATGCATCCCTTCGTGTACATCACTTAAGTCATACTGGAGAGAAACCTTAGAAATGTAAGGAATGTGACCAGGGCTTTATCCATCAGTCACGCCTTACGCAACATCACAGAATTCCTCCTGGAACTAGTCCTAACAGTTTTGAAGACTGAGAGAATTTGGGAGGACTGCCGAACTCTAACTCCACATCGGAGAATTCATTTTGGAGAGTGATTATACACACAAAAAGAATGTGGCAAGACCTTTAGGCAATGCTAAACCCTTGTTCCTTATCCAAGAATGTATAGTGGAGGTGATTTTACACATAGAAAAATACAGCAAACCCTTTCCTAGTGCTCAAGCCTCCCCCAGCATTACAGAATTCATAGTAGAGAGAAACCTTGTAAAGAATGTGGTAAAGCTTTTGGATTGCTCAACACTTAAGTCAGCATCCCAGAGTTCATACTGAGGAGAAATACTAGAAATGGAAAGAACATGGCAGGCCTCTGGCTGGACGTCATAACTTGCTCAACATCATTGTTACCATCCAGGAGCAAAACTGTAATATGTAAAGACAGTGGCCAAGCCTTTAACTAAAATTCAGTCCTCACTCGGTATCCCAAAATGCAGTCTTGGGTCAAACTTTACAAACATAATGAATGAGGAAAGACTGTCTCTTACAGTTTAGGAAACATCAGAGAATTCAGAGAAGAAAAGGAACTTGACAGATAAAAGTCCATAGAAATGTATTTAGTTGAACATCAAATGCCAATAAATGTCATAGAGTTTCCAGAACAGAGCAGTACACCAGTCACTCTCTTCATAGATTATATAAAAAAAATCTTAATGCAAAGTTAGTTAGATAATGTATGTGCTATTATGCTTCAAAAGATAGAAGGGATTTTCGCATGGATATAATTTCAGTGTGTTTGTGTTTCCATTGATGCTATATGAGATTTGTGACTTGTAATTATTCATGTGCTTCTACTCTGAGAACTCTTCAGAAAATTCATTTATTCCTAGTAAGTGTGTGAACGTATGTGGGTCATCGTTGTTGCATCAGGGATATGAGATGCCCTTCTTCTTTAGGTGGTACTTATGCATATCTAATTTCCATGGAAGATGAAGGACTGTGTAACATACAATATATTAGGAAAATCTAAATGAATATTCCTCCTGTGGTTATAACATTGATATAGATCCTCATGAAGTAGTTGTTTAGGACATCATTCTCCATTTATTAAAACTAAAAAAAAAAAAAAAAATTGTGACCATTACCAATTACAGGTTTTGCTAATTGGTGTTTTTAATGAAAACAAGATGGCAGTCTTCACAGTAGTAATTGTTAGAGAGTCTGAGTTGATGGGGTTGAAATGAAGAAATCCTGACATATCAGAGAATAGCTAACTTCTGTAAAATGACATACACTCATACATCCACATTTTTAGAGAATTACCAGAGTCCTGAAAGTGTTTTCGTATGAAATACTAGCTGGTAAGAAGTTAAAATAGAGTGCTACCAGATGTCTTCTCTAAGCCTCGCGGTAATGACAAAATCAAAGCAATGTAGTTGATACAGAAGACATAAAGAGAAAATAATCTAAGTATTCCCTTCTTTAAAATCATCAAATCACAATGATAGCTAATGAATGAGAAAGCGATGAATAATTCTAAACAGCCAGACTGTAACTCCATACTTGTAGTGATACTTGCTTTAAATATAAAGGGCCTAAATTCTTGAATCCAAAGATACAGATTGCCTGAAAGGAAAGAAATACAAGACCCAACCGTATACAGTCTTCAAGAGAATCACTTCAGCTTTAAGAACATTCTGACTGAAAGTGCAGGTGTGGAAAAGAATATTCCATGCAAATGGAATAAAAAAGAAAGCAGGTTAGCTCTGCTTACATCAGTGAAAATAAACTTTAAGCCATAGAGTGTAGTAAAACCTGGCAAAGCTCATTTAATATAATGGGCTGACTTTGTGCAGTGTTCATAATGATATATTTTTTGGCAAAAATATATGTCAAAAAAGACTTCCATTGTTTTGGTTTTGGAAGGACAGGGCAGTTTTTCTTTATATTCAGTTGCAAATGATAGGCTTCCTATGGGTCACCTTTGCCTTAGTTGTGATAGTGGATTTAGTCCAAGCTGGGGTTTTTTTGGAAATGTACATCTTCCCGTAAGAAACCCTTATATTCTAGTTGCTTCAATGTTTGTAGCATGGCTTACCTATGACCAACAGTTGTATACGTTATATATGCATTTGCTAAATATAAAAGGTTCACGCCTTTAATTTTGGAGAAAGGTAGCTAACACGTGTAGTTATGATTTGTTACATTAAAGCTGTAGGTCTGTGTATTCATGTAGAGTCTGTAGTGACAAGACATTTCTCTAAATTGCTTTCTACTCCTTGAGCAAAGAACAGTCTTTTTGTGCATTGGATGGTTGTGTTGATTTGTCAAAATTTAGATACATAGGAGTCACTTAACTTTTAAAGACTAATTTTGTTTGATCTATAGTATTCTTTTACATTTTTCAAATGAATGCTTTTCCTTAAAAAGAAAAAAGTAATAAAGAGGTCAATTCAACAAACAGATAAAACTTTTATAATTATTTATGCACTCAACATAAAAGCACATAACATGCGAAGCAGCTATTAGACAAGAACAGAGGAAGATACAGCAGTACATTAGAAGGGGACTTCGATATTGTGCCTTCAAGAATGGGTGGATTATCCAGACAGAAAATGAGAGAGGGAACATCAGACTTCAATGATAAGAGGCAGGCAGACGTCCAACACTATGCAACAGCATCTGAGAACACATTCTTCCCACATGCCCATGGAGCATTCTCCAGTATAGGGTATATGTTAGACCACACAAGTCTTAATAAGTTTATGATTGAAATGATACCAAGCACCTTTTCCAACCACTATGGAGCGAAACTAGAAGTCAATTAGAAGTACAAAATGAGAAAATTCACAAATATGTGAAGAATAATCAGGCAACTTTATAATAGCCTATGACTATGGTATGCTTGCACCGATGTGTGAGGTAGTCAAAAACCTCTCTTTGCACATTTGTTGTACAACGTTATTCATTTGACACTTGGAGAATAAACGGGGATGCCTGGGAGAGGGAGAAGTAAGACTCCCCAACTAGTAGGGAGCCAGAGGTGGGCCTCAATCCCAGGACTCTGGAATTATGACCTGAGCCACCCAGGCACCCCATCTGGTTCATTTGTACATTATAAATGGGTGAATTATACACTATGGAAATTCTGTGCAAATAAAGCTATTACAAGGAACCCCAAATAAGACATGCCTGCATAAGAAGACTTAGTATTATAACCTCTCAAGACTACATAAATTGATCTATTAAACACACACACACTTGTAAGATTTCAACGGGAATTTAGGATTTAACTTTCTTGTGTGTCTTAAGTTTTGTGATGATACAAAAACAATTTTGAAATGCACACAAGAAGGTTTGTCAACGAACACATAATTACTAGTATGAGTTACATTCAATGCTTTGATGTTGGATGAAGAAAATGTAGAGATGTGAAAATCTGTCAGTTTAAGAATCAGTAGAATGGGTATCTGTGTAATTCTGTGTTTTTAATATCTATATTTCTATAGATCTCTGTTTTTCTATATATCTCTACATATATAGCAGGAAGGAAAGCTTGCTTTATGAATTGCCTAACCTAAGTGTGACCGATGGCAAGTCTGATGTCAGCAAGGAAGTCCAGCAGGCTCAAAGGCCAGGAAAGAGCTGATGTTGAAGCCGGAGAATCTGAAGACGGTCTGGAGACAGAGTTAGGTCAGTAGGAAAAGCACCTTTGGAAGATACAGCTAATTCCTATGTTCTCCAGAATAGACTGTCTAGTAACTGGTATGGATTTATCTGCTATAACGTTAATATAAACTATTTAAAATAGAAAAAATACAGATAACTTCTAGAAAGAGTTAAACATCATCTTACAATGTTTGACTAAATGTATGAGAGTATACAGCATTTCCAGGCATGAAGCATGTGGAAGCATGCCTTCCACAAAAGACAAAAGCAGAATTATGGTGGATGTTACATTTAACAATATAATTAAGAGCATATCCATTTTTCTTAGATGTTATAAGTAAAAAATTTGTATTAGCCAACGAGTAAATATTTTAATTATCACATAGGATTAAAAGACAATATCTCTGCAATTGAACCTTATTTTTCTTTTTTTTTTTTTTTAATATTCCATTTATTTATTTGACAGACAGAAATCACAAGTAGGCAGAGCAGCAGGCAGAGGAAGAGGGGGAAGCAGGCTCCCTGCTGGGCAGGGAGCCTGATGTGGGGCTCAATCCCAGGATCCTGATATCAGGACCTGAGCTGAAGGCAGACGCTTAGCCCAAGGAGCCATTCAGTTGCCCCGAACCTTATTTTTCTTTCTTTTCTTTTTTCTAAATCTTTTTTTAAAAAATATTTTACTTATTTATTTGACAGACAAGGATTATAAGTAGGCAGAGAGGCAGGGAGAGAGAGAGGAGGAAGCAGGCTCCCTGCTAAGCAGAGAGCCTGATGTAGGGCTGGATCCCAGGACCCTGAGACCATGACCTGAGCTGAAGGCAGAGGCTTAACCCACTGAGCCACCCAGGTGCTCTGTCATAGGATTTTAAAGGCAGTGTCAGTAAGAACTGATGTCAGGTTATGGAATGATTTATTCTATTCCCTATAACACCTCTCTTTGGTATTCAGAATTCAGCAATGCTCTTGTTCATACTCTAGTGAGTTTTTCAAATTCTGGCAGAGCTAAGTACTCTGCATTTTTCAGGACTTTGCCCTTTACTGGGGTCATTGACCCCATCTGGATTACATTGCATTTTCTTTAATCCCAGTCTAAACCGAGTAGCCCAATATCCTATGCCTACTAAGCGCTACAGGCTGTCCCTCCTCTTTGATATCCAGAACCTGACTGCCAACTCCAAAAGGAATCTTGGGTGTCAAAACTGAAACACCCCCAAAGCTAACCTTCAAAAGAGCTTTAGGTCATTCCTTCATGGTGAGAATTGTTCAGGGCATATACACAGCCCGAGGAGAAAGAAGTGAGGACTGACAGAAGATTCTGTGATACAGGGGAGAAATACTCAGAGAGCCAGCCTTCAGTAGAACAAGCAAGTAAGGAAACCAGTCAATGAGAAGAAGCCCACTGTGGAGGACACCTCAGAGGAAGAGAGGTAAAGGGTTTCAAGTTGTTAAAAGAACAGCCTCTGAGTGAAAGTTTCAAAAATAGAAATATTTTTCTCTACCTATGGGTCAGGATGCATGTAAGGGAGACTTTGAAACCATCCCTACTCTAACATCATTTTCTGATGATTATCAAGAGACCGTTGATGCGAGGAAGTAAGAGGTATTCAAAAAAGCTTCGCATCCTGGGTTTCACAGAGCAGCTGTTCGGCTGAAATGCACTTTGTGAT